GTATTATATGAAACAATTTCACAAGATTAAACAATTTCATGAAAAAATTTCATAAGATTAAACAATGAAATCGACAGATGAAGGTGGTTTGCACGGTTTACATAAATGAGGGCGATTTTCATATGATCACTCCTATATATATATATATATATATGAAGTTCAAATGTTAACCAAGGTTTTTGTGTTAACTTTGTTAACCGATCTTGGTCATTCAATCTTTCAATAAACGGTTGTGATTAATTATGATAAAAACTTATTTTTTTTTAAATTTAAATTTTCATAAAGATAAGTGAACAAAGTTGAAAAGGGTATTTAGGTAAAAAAAAATTATATAACTCCCATATCATTAATTGGGAGTTACAAAATCAATTTTTTTTTATGATTTTTGTTAATTTATTTTTATTAATGTAAGAATCATATGAACACAACTATATATATATATGAACCATTATGTCAAATACGAATAAAAAATGACATATATATGAACTTGGACTGCATAACATTTATGAACATAATAAGAATAACTGCTATACGAAAGGAAATAAATAGAAAAACAGGTATGAACAGCTTGTGAACAATAGCTCATTCATTATAAACACATTCAGAAGTGATCATTTGTCAATTGGAGTTTTATACATGCATTGCATCCACACAGTTTAAGATTCACCCCTTGTTCATATATGTTTCTGGTCTTATGTGGTTGTTCACCCCTTGTTCATATCGTGTTCACCTCTTGTTCATATCGTATAAAATATATGAACACATAACCCCGACGCTATGAACATCGGGTACAAACACTTACACAAATATAAAGATTTGGTATCAAGCTTAAAAAATAACATTTGTGTTCATATTATAGAAATAACATGAACACAATGGTTCATGATTCATAAAAATCGGTAATATGACAATATGAAAATGGGTCGTGCATGTATTTCCATTTGAACATGTGAATTAGATACGTATTAATAATTAAAGAAAAAAGTTATCAACGCAATATAAACTACAAAAAACACAACACATCATAATGAACATAATTTCGATTAAAACGAGTGTATTAAAATATTAATCCATTACCAAGACATTCGCTTTGGTTAATTTATTCACTTCCCGAACTCGAACTCTGATTGTCACCATAAACCATTTTAATCTTCTCAATGTTGTCGATTTATTATCCAATGCATTTATTCATAATAGCTTGAACGATACCTAAGATTTTACTACCGTGTTTCATCCATGAATCAAAAACTCATAAAACAATAAAAATTAAAGATCAAGATTAAAAAATAAATAAAAATATCAATATTATAAATGTATATTTTTAGGGATTTTATGATTTTGTAGCTCCCCTTTAATGGTATGAGAGTTACATACCAAATGAAATTACTCAATTACCCTTGGCATTAAATTGTGAACATGATAGAAACCTAATAGAAGAATGGATTGTGATTGGTTGACATG